TAGTTAGGAGAGAACTTTCCTTTGGCCTCATCTTGATGCGGAAAAATCTTCTTCAGCACCAGCTGCCCCGGTGTGAATTGCCTCGGCTTGACTCTTTTGTTGAAAGCTCTGGACATCCTGTTCTGATACAATTGACCATGGCAAACTGCATTCAGTCTTTTCCCGTCTATAAGGGCTAACTGCTCATAGCGACTTTTTACCCATTCTGCATCTTCAAGTTCCGCTTCCTGTATAATCCTCAGGGAGGGAATCTCTACCTCGGCTGGGATGACTGCCTCGGTACCGTAAACCAACATAAAGGGAGTTGCCCCAGTTGATTTGCGGACTGTGGTACGGTATCCCAATAAAGCAAAGGATAGCTTTTCGTGCCACTGCTTGTGTTTCTCTATCATTTTCCTTAGTATCTTCTTGATGTTCTTATTGGCGCTTCTACATCTCCATTCATCTGAGGTCTGTAGGCTGTAGAATTCTTGTGCTTGATCATGAACATCTCACACATTGCTTTCATCGGATCACTGTTGAGATTGGAACAATTATCAGTGATGATTGACTCTGGGATGCCGAACCGGCAAATGATACGGTCGCGGACAAAGTCTGCCACAAACCTTCTTGGTCATTGCCTTATATGATGCTGCTTCAACCCATTTGGTGAAATAATCATTTGCCACTAGAATGAACCTGTGTCCGTTTGATGCGGCAGGCTCGATAGGTCCGATGACATCCATTCCCCAAGCGGCGAATGGCCACGGTGAGCTTGTTGCATTAAGCTCGTTAGGAGGCACCTTAATCATGTCTGCATGAATCTGGCAGCGATGGCACTTTCAAACATACTGGATGCAGTCCGTCTCCATAGTCATCCAAAAATAACCAGCTCGGAGTATTTTCTTAGCTAAGACGAAACCATTCATGTGTGGGCCACAGGTCCCTGCATGAACCTCTCCCAACAACCTGGATGCTTCCTTTGCTTCGACACATCTTAGTAATCCCAAATCTGGAGTCCTCCTTTACAGGATTCCTCCGCTGTGAAAGAAGTGATTGGATAGCCTCCGCAGTGTGCGCTTTTGAGTAGTGTTTGCAAATTTTGGGTATTCTCCTGTTGCCAGATATTTCTTAATGTCATGAAACCATGGTTTTCCATCTGCTTCTTCCTCGACATGAGCACAGTAGGCGGGTTGATCCTGGATTTTTACTGGGATAGGATCAATGAAGTTCTTATCCGGATGTTGAATTATGGATGATAGAGTGGCCAATGCATCGGCGAACTCATTCTGGACTCTGGGGACTTGCCGGAATATTGTCTTTGTAAACCTCTTCCTCAACTCCTGTACATGATGCAAATACGAGAGTATTTTGGAGTTCTTGGTTACCCATTCTTCTCGAACCTGATTTATGAGCAAGTCTGAATCCCCGATCACTAGTAACTCCTGAATGTTCATATCAATGGCTAGCTTGAGCCCTAAGATGTAGGCTTCGTACTCGGCCATGTTGTTGGTGCATGGGAACCTGAGTTTGGCGGACACCGGATAATGCTGACCTGTTTCTGATACTAGAACTACTCCTATGCCAACTCCTTTAAAGTTTGCTGCTCCATCGAAAAACATTCTCCAGCCATCATAGGATTCTGCGATATCTTCTCCTATGAAAGAGACCTCTTCGTTAGGAAAATACGTCTTTAGAGGCTCGTATTCTCCGTCCACGGGATTTTCGGCAAGATGATCTGCCAGTGC